GGGGGGGGGGCATTAAAGCTGCCGCCCTGTCATGGCTTAGCAAAACGCATGCACAATACCTAATTGACAACGAGTTCCCCTCTGTTCTGTTCTGTTCTGTTCGAAAGCATTGAGCCCATTGACTTTGCAGTGCAGCAGAAATCGTTTCGCTCTTTGTCTCCTCTTCTCGCAAAAGTCGGGGGACAAAGCGATGATCGGTGCGGTGCTGTGCTGCTCCTGTCAGCACTCAGTAGCTCGCTTTCTTTTTCTCTCTCTCGCTTGGAACGATCCGTGTTGTTAAGTGTGTTTATGCTTGTGCTTATGATCGGGGTCGCGGCGGTGGTAGCTGCTACTACTACTAGGCAAAAAATGGCAACAAAAAAATGAAGCACGACTAAACACATTAAACAGAAGCAGGCAATTAGAGCAGGCAAAGTGTGAAAGAGAGGCATTTGCGCCTTCTAATTGATTGGAAAAAATTGGCTTTTGTGCCTGTGGCTGGTGTTGACACCAGCCTAGCGTTAATTGAATCAATTGTGGTGGTAGTAAAACAGGTATCAATTGTCGAGCTGAGATTAAGCAAAGTTTCATGTGAACTTTTGCTGTTTAGTGTTGTGCTGAAAACTGAGTATTCACTGCGTGATCTGCGTAACAAGTGGTGAGGAGGTGGTGGTAAGGAGCAGATCAAGAGAGCTAGTCAGCAGAGATTGTGGGAAAGAAAGCGAGGTGCGTTTAATGGCTCATCAGCAGCCCTCGAACTTCAGAACCTCAAATCAGAGCGACTAGAAAAGAAGCGGACTGACTGAAAAATTCCACTGACGAGGTAATAAACTTGGCTGGGCAGCAGCAGCAGCAGCAGCCACTTTAGCTCAATTGATTCGCCACATGTCATCGACATGGCAATGAAACTGAACGAGGCTGGCAAGAGCAAGAAAAGCAATAAAACCAGAGATCAGCTTTCAAGAGAGAGAAAAGCAAGCGTCTGCGGATAGGGGAAAAAGTGGCAAAGAATTAAAAGGCGATTAGAAGAGCAGAAAAGTTCTTCCCTTCTCTCTTTCTTCCAAGCAGCCTCAGTCGATGGCAGCACCTCTTCTTCCTCTTCTTCATCTTCCCATCCAAACCCAATCTCTTCTCTCTTTTCCCTTGACCGGTCTACTCTGAAGTGGTCCGGACGAGTGAGTGAGTGAGTGAGAAAAACTGTCACCTCTTGAGCTAACTAGAAATCTCTGGCGGCAGAAGCTGTTATCAGAAGATGGAGAAGAAGTGTCACCAGGCCGCAAAATCGCTGGCAATCAGAGTGATCTCTCTCTCGGGTCAAGCAGCAGCAGGGGAAAAGATGGGGAAAAAGAAGCTCTATTGCCTATTGCGCCCAATTAGGCAATGAGTACATTTTCGATTGTTATCAATCACCACTTGGCGCAGTATCGCAGATTCCATCAATTGATATAGAAGTAGTATCCGACTGTCTGAACGAACTGTTTGCACTCTTCTCCGGCAGCAGCAGCAGCAGCAGCAGCCATCCAATCGCAAAGAAGGATGAACTGCACTGAATCCAAGTACAAAGTGCTAAAGTACTGCTTTTGTCGCTGCTGCTG